CCTGCCACTCAGCTGAGCAGTAGTGGGGAAAGGGGGAGGCCAGAGGGGCTGGAAGGCAGGCTTGGGAAGCTCTCCCCAAGCCCATTTTCCCAGCCCTGATGGCTTTTAAATTGCTGAGTAGCAGGGGGAGGCAAGGGGAAGTAGATACAGCCAAGTGCCAGGCTTGCAAGCCCAACGTCCCAGCCTTGCAGCAGGGGAGGAGGAGCAGTGCTCCCTGTGTTCGGCTCTAATACTCAGGACCCAAGCAGAGGGACCAACACAACAAAGTCCCTGCTTGCTTCTGATATCAGGAACCCAGCTGTGAGGAGGTGGGGAACAGCTGCCAGCTGCTCTTCCCCTCCCAGACCATGGGATATGGTGTGGGGAGCAGTTGTTCTCCATCTCCAGACCCATGACTCCAGTCTCTGGAAGGTGTGGGAGCCTGTTCCCTGGTCCCCAAGAGCAGTTAAGCCAAAGGAAAGTAGCATGCAGACATTCAGTTTCCTAGGAGCAATTTAACCCTCACTGTTCCTGGGTTATTTTTCTTCCAGAGCAGCCATTTTTGCTCTGGGAGAAAAAGCCTAAATATCTGCACATTTCTGTTTTCTCCCCAGAGAATGGAATGGCAATTCCCCGAGCAGAACCTGAACATCTGGACATGTGCAAGAACCATCTGAATACACCTCATTTCTGAACAGAGCGATAAACGAACTGTTCTTTGACTCGATCCTCTGCTAGAGTTGTAAGTTTCTCCACTACCTCCTTTTAAACTCAAGGATATCTACCAAAAACAGCTTGTACTTAGATGGCATAAACTGAGTGACTTGTTTTAACTGTAATGCATACAGATACTACAAGGTACATTACAGCTACCAAGCAGGACACACTTCCAACCAGCTTTAGGCACTCCATTGAAGAAAACCTGTATTGAAGGTGCATGACCTTGAATAAATGAGGTAAACTGAATTTATCATATCAAATGAAGCTGTCATAAAAATCCTTTCTCCATCTCAAGAATCAGCTTCCTGTTGGTTTCTGGCTACAAAGTGTTATAACTTGCAAAACTTAAATGCTGCCTATTATCCTATTATCCACCCGATAACTAAGTTCAACTAAATTACATCCAAGTGTTCCTGGATTTGGACTGAAGGCCCAAGAAAAGAGCATTACTATTAGAGACTTCCCAATTCCTGGATTCAGAAACCTCATCTGATAGTCAAAGAGCAGAATCAACAGTCCTCAAGTTCTGGGCCATAGTTCAGTCTCGTGGTGCTCCCTGTTCTTCCCCACTTCTAGAAGAAGTAAGGCTCTGTATTTCAAGACAGCCTGGATGCCAGGAAAAGAAAATAAAAAATAAAAAAAGGACAAAACACAGCCTTGTGGCCTCCAGTACAGGCAGATAAGAACTACCAGAAGATGCCAGTGAAGCAACCAG